CAATTGTTGTTTATCGCATCTGTAATCCAGTAACAATAGAATATAACAAACAATTTAACATTTGCAAACTAGATACCGCAGCTGATCTTATAATATGTTAGACATATATGTGTCTGAATACGAGACGGACAATTAAAAATACCTATATGTTTTGATATAATGCCTTGAATAATTTGTTTCCAATTTCATTACGTCATAACTGTCTTGTTATGACGTAATGAAAAAGCGTCCAGGAAGTAAGAAGTGAGAATAGCAGCATCCTTTTTCTCGTATTTTTGCCCGTCAATGAACGTATACACTCCATAGTGGTTTAATAGCATTTAAATGTGGTGAGTAATAATACAAAACAGCAGTTCTGAAGATGTTCTGATACCCACAGCATTGTCAAGAGCCGAGACAAAGGTCTGGGGTCACGATTGTGTTTTGTGGGATGCGATACTGTCGTCACGATAGACGATTTGAATAAGGTTGTTAGCACACAAGCGAATAAATTTACCTAGGACGTTACGTTTTTGGGGTAAATACAAAAAAGTAAGACTACTTGTTTTATTTATTGAAAATATAATATTTATAGAGATACAGACGAAAAATGAAACAAAGATAAAATAGTATAATAATAACGCCTAGTTGTAAGTTTGAGTGTTGTACAAAAATAGATAATAAAAGTGGCAAGTAGGTATACACAACAATAGTACAATTAAAATAATAAAATAAAAAGGAGGGCAACTGGCGGCCTTATCGCATTCGAGCGATCTCTTTCTCCCTCTCGAAAAATAAAATAACATAAGGTAAGCGCACTTCATGCAAAACTACGACATTATATAGTCACTTAGACAAAACTAATGGGTAAACAATCCAATTAAAACATATACGTTTAAACTGTGTAAAATATATAAAATTTAAAACATTTCGCTTTAAGATTTCCATTAGCCGGATTTAGGGGAGGGCAACAGGGGCTATAGCCTCGGGCCCTTCACCACAGGACCCCACAATATAGGCGGAAAAAAAATGTTTTAAATTCCGACCAGTAAACAACTTTTCTTTTGATATTATTAATTTTTTTTTAGATTATTATGTTTGCTAAATACTAAAAGAATCTACTTGATTTCTTTGAACTCGACTGTATTTTTTTTCATTTTATTTGTAAATAATAAATCCACCACTCCTTTGTTGTCCTTCAAATGCGTCCCTGCCTAGAATACATCTGTCCAACACAAACTCCTAAAAAACATTATAATAAAAACGTACATGAGTCAATTTTGAGTAAATTTCTTTTCCTCTACTAATCGAGTTCCAGCCTAATTGATGGTCACCAGTTCTATTTTGACATTTATCGAACGCACTGCCAAGAATCTCCTTTCCGCATGTTTCTCCGGATAGATTATTTAGGTAAGAGTGACTACATTGGCTTGTATCTTTCCTTTAATCAATAAAGATACAGGTTCGACAATTTAAAAAAGTACTATTTTTAAACCGTTCGTGTGTCTTTATAACTACGGGGAAAGGTCACGTTCGGTTGGTATTTGAATACTAAGATTCGGATACGGCGACTTTAAACCACAGCGGTATTTAGTCTAAAAATATAGTATGAATATCGGGATATTAATAACATTTATGCCTTATTTTGGTCCTGCTCCATAGGACAATCATAGAGCCTGGACAAAATCAAATTGGTTGCTGATTTTTTGCTTTTACAAATTTTTGTTATTTTTATTTTATAATGCTACAAAATGTAGTTATTTTATTTTTATCTCACACACTGGTGTGTGTTTTTTTTATTACTCTTTAATGTATAATACGGTTTCGATATTTGTAAATATGTGAGGAACATGTATACTAAGTTTTTTTAGTATAGTAATTTTATTCTAGGAGTCCATTGTTTTCACATATAATTATTTAACTAATGTATACAAAATATTGTAAAACCTATTTGAAAAGAGTAAGTGTGGAGTTTCTTGCCAATTCTTCTCCACACGAAACTACCTTTTAGAAGGGGCAACTAGAATCATCTTTATATTTTATTTGACGTTCAAAAGTGCCATTTTAGGTGGTCTAATTGAAATAAATGATTTGACTTGACTTGACTTAAGACGCCATAATTTATAAGGCTTTATAAGTTAAATTAATTGACTAAACTTCGATCGATCAAAAACACCTTCCCCAAGCCGGCTGGTCACTGTGGGGGTTACCGACTTTTCAGCTCAGAAACGAGATGATAGAAATTTCAAAAACATTAACAGTTCAAACACTCGAAACCCAATCGAAAATAAGATGACGCCACTCTGAATTGTCTATCATTGAGAGCACTGGAACAAGGGAAAGAGGAGGACAGAGCTAGAACTAGGAAGACGATATAAAGAGAATAGGAGACCCAACTTGGACAAGAAGAGCTAACATTAGAAAATAATGAAAGCAGCTGGAAGAGGCCTATGTGTCACAGGACACGCTGATTACCAAAACAATGTTTATATAATATATTACACTGGGTGTCAGCAATAAAGGAGTAATAATAATATTTGATTTAACTTATAGCGAGCTTATTTTAAAGCAAAGGCGTTGTTTAATGTAGGTATTTATTTCCATCACCTTTAGAATGCTGTTTGGCGCAAATAAATTATTGTCCAAAAAATGTATTAGAGAAGTATATCTTTGGACCGGAGGACAAAAAATAAAACCCCTTTAACTGACTTAATCTTCTTTAACGGTAGCGGTGGTCAGCGACAGGTTTTATTAATTCAACAACATAATTATCTAAATCTAAACTAAATAAAATAATAAATTGGATTGGAATCTCTTTGGTTTTCGATATTTTTGTTCATGCACTTTAAATTAAAATAATATCATAATTGTTTAATTTCATAATATAATTATAATAAAATACCAGTCAACCTAGCGTACAGCATATAAATCGACGGTATAAATTTTTTAATAAACTTAACTTCGGCCACCAAAAGATTAACAATTTTATTTATATTTCATCGAATTACTGAGCTTATTTTCTTGTTTTACTATATCGTGATCGTGAACTTTAACAGGAATTCTTCGAATTTAACTAAAGGTTAGACAAATACTTCGGAATTGTAACCTACACTGTTTATAATTTTGGAGAATGAAAAATAATTCGTATTATAAGATTTTAAAACAGCAATCTTGATGGTATTTATCTAAAATATAGGTAATTATATATTTATAAAGCTAAATAACCATTTTAGATAGCTAGATTAGTATTGCAAATTCGATAGTACAGATAGTAGTTTTATTGATTTCCTAATACTATACGTTTTTTAAAAACAATTACAGTAAAAATATAGCCAAAGATGGAATACATAATATTTATAAAATGATTCAAACATTTACAAAACGGAATAAACAATAATAATTATTCAATACATTTAACTAAGTAATACCCAATTTGGCTGTGTTGTGTGTTGGTGTGAAAGTGAGTATGTACGTGAGGGTGTGTATATGGAGAGTGCAGGTGATTTAGCACTATGGATAATCATACTACTTTTAAGCTTAAACAAGTCAAGACTCGAGCCTTCAATATTGGTCGTTGTATGTTGGGCTGCGCGATACAAAACTGAGTTTTTTGCATACTTAGTGTTGATATGAGGAATATGAAACAAATAATTTTTATTGAAGACGAAACCATTCAAATTAATGTGTTTAGTAACCGGATCGTTGTCGATGCCTCGAGCGCCATCTAGCGGCAATATGTCAACGTAAAAACCGCACTCTGATTGCGCGGTATTTTTGAATGTATTAAAATTTACTATAAGTGTCACAAAAGCAAACTTTATACCAATAAAGGTAGTTTATTTTTATTTTTGTGCATAGCCGAAAAAATAACTTTCGGACTTTTTGTAGAGTCGTGTAATCATGACAATGATTTCCTTAAGATCTTTTCCGTGTCAGAGAATAGTTTCGGACCCTTGAAAATAGCAAAGCAAATACTATGCACAGCTGTCACGCTCCACGCATTGAGGGTACTTTGGGATCTTTATCATATTATGTAGTCTTATGATTACTTTTTGTGAGGATTACAGTTGCGTTGGACTGCTATTCCAAATCATGATAAGCAGTACTACCGACAAGCAAACGAAAGTTGCTAGTGTAAAAAACAGTGTGGCCAGCAGATACGAATATTCAACGTGAGTTATATATTGACAGGCATTATAGAGAAGTGAGTTCACCATACTGTGACATAATATATGACTCGTTTTAGCGACAAATGTAGGGAGGATATTAGGATACTGAATTCGTCAAAGTCACTTTCAATTGGCCCGAACTATCGAGTTTCCATTCACCTTTCATTAAACTAATGGTACACGCTATTGTGCTATGTTATTTTTGGTAGGCGTTATCTTTTTGTTTAGTATTATTACATTAAAGGGGAGAATAATATGTATGTACCTATTTATGTCTCTAGGTTTTTATCATGTACTTATTAACGTAAAGATATACAAAGATTTGTCTTGAACCTTTTTTTTATTTACACTTTATTACCTGATACAAAAACATACATATAAAAAAAGCAGGTTACAAGGCCACGGGCGACCTTATCGCTAGCAAGCGATTTCTTCCAGGCCCTAATATGGAACAATATAAAAAGAAACACCTACAGAGGGTAAAGTACAAGAAGAGCATAAATAATTAACAAAAACACGTGTAGGTAATAAAATAAACAAAAAATTAAAAAAGCTAATCAAAAGGTTAAATGAGTCTCAATAATTAATATGTAGGTATAAGTAGTAGCTAATTACGAGGCAGTAAAAAAATATCAAAAAGAAGCTTTTTAAATAAATTTAAAGACTGGGCTCATCTGATATCATTTGGTAAGGAATTCCATAGCAGAATACTTTGCACAGTAAAGGAGGAGTGATATATTCATTCAGTTTTATGAGTACTGTAGTGCGTATTAAATGCAATGAGAGCGCCTTTATACAAGTAATTAAACGTTCAATATTATAGAGTACATTTTTATTTACATGGCTTACAATCTATTCCCATATTTCTCTTCCATAATTATCCTCAAAGGAATTAGGAAAATCATTCGCACTCGGTGTCTCGTCAAATGTTTCATAATTAGACAAATCAAATTTGTCCGCCAAGAATGTGTCAGCTGCATATGTCACTGGCTTATCCGTGGAAAAGAACTGGTCCATTCTAGATATTGTTGTTGTAGTCGGATGTTCTGTGGTACTTTCTGTCGTTGTCTCCATTTCTGTTGTTGTGTATCTGTACGTGGTAGTCGAGTCAATCATGAAGGGCCGACAGAAGCTGTTCGCAAAATGCCATCCGTGGGGGCAAATGAATATTTGTGGCGTTAGCACACCGCGCTTCGATAGACACACGAAATAATGGTTCGAGCTGGCTTCCAACACGGCAGAATGTCCTACTCTTTGGCAGTCGGGAACAGGACGGTGGGTGCATTGTCCATTTGGCAGAAGTATCTGTAAAATACGGAAATTAAAATGTTACGAAACTGCAACCAAGTGTAATATTAAAAATAACATCAAATTTTTGTGTCGCGCGCCGATTAGTGGCTAGGCGCATTCAAGTTTGTGCGTTTGAATACGCATTTAGGTATTGCTGATATAGGAACATATCTTGGGAAAATCAGAAAATCTAAGATTCTTATATCAAGGCATCTGTTAGGCACAGAAGGCTGATAGCCTACTTGTTTTAAAAAGACATACATACATAATCTAGGACCAATCCCAAGAATTACAACCCTCATTACGGCACTGATTTTTTGAAGTGAAACTTCTTTAAGGGAGCGTTTAAGTATTACGTCACGCAATTTTTGGAGATTATTGACACACACATTCATGTAACGTTTTTCTCTACCCAAGTACAGTACTGTACCCAAGTATAGTATAACGTTTCGTGACCACCTAGTGACTCTTTATACCTAAAAGTTACCATTATGTGGTATAAACTACTGGAAAGTCGAAAATAATATAAACAATAACGCGTAATTTAATCCCCGCCCCGCATCGTAACGTTTTATAAAAGGACCCCCCCCCCCAAAATCCGTTACGTAATTCTTGAACGCTCCCTAAGCGCATGAGGTTAATTTTTTACGGATGATACGCAATAATAAAAATATTACGTCACGAAGATAGAGCGAACGTCGCATCATGCACAGTGCCATGGAGCAAGAGATGGGAGAGAGCTATAGTGAGAAAGATTAAGGGAAATGGAGAAAAAATACACGCTATTAGTTGATGTATTCGTTTAGTAGTTACATATTAGAACTTTAGACGGCAATTCTGTCGCATAACGTCTTGTGCAGTAGACGCAGATTTTTTATTTATTTATATTATCATTAGCACGTACACAGTGTGTTAACAGTGTATATATAGATATACAAATACACGGAGTGATCAAATACTGGTACATGATCATCTATTGGGGCTTTTACCTTAGTAATAATTAATTTACAAAAAAGTTTCACTTCTGACATGTGTACTTTGTACGCACGCACTATTTATTAAAAGTGCGTGCGTACAAAGTACACATGTCAGAAGTGAAACTTTTTATAATAAATACCTGTTTACATAATATTGTCAAAACAATTACCGAGCATTGAGCAGTCTGTGGATTGTAGCCATAATGCCTCGGGCATAAAGCAACTGTGTGGTCTGCTGGTGCTCCGTCCGGTAGGCCTTTTGGTGGTGAGCACAGATGGAACTTCCTGCAGTCGTACGCATCAGGGAATATGCCAACCTGAAAATTAGTTTCAACATTTTACTTAAACAAGAAAACTATAAAACTTTCTAGTAAAAGTGAGATATATCACGTCTGTTACTAGCTAATCAAACTCCATCTACAAAAAGCCTGAGCGTAATCGGAACGAGTCCTGCTATTTCCTTCATCTCAGGAGGCTGTTGTAAACCCTTTTGAGAAACGAATATCATTTCTTTACCAGAAGCCTGTTCTACAAAACTGATGAAAATTTTTTGGAAGAATCCTAGATCAGAAAATGAGGAAAATAATCAGCTACATATATATATTAATCTCTCTCTTCAGTCGGTAGCTCATTTCGACCGTCGTGGTCAGCAAGGAAATACCTGGGGCGGACAATCTTTTTCTACCAGTTTCTGTTCACCGCCACTCTTATTACAGTGTACAGTTTTGAGGACGATGAGTCTTTCACTTCATCGGTGCATCTGGTTGGTGAACGGCAACGTGATCATTTGCCTTCTGTGTAACCTCGATTTTTCGTCATATGTTAGACAGGCTAGTAAACATCCAGACGGAGAGAGAATAGAATTCATTCGCCACTCTTATCAATAGAGCTGTTTTATGTAATACAATTTTACTAAAAAACCATTGAAGGGTTACCTGTTCACAAGTATGGTCATACTTCTGACTGGCTACATCACATTCGGGGACAGCTGTAGTTGAGCATTGACCCAGATGGGCATTGCAGGTCTGGTCGCCAGGACATTGTTGTAGAGGAACCTGTAATTCACTAATGTATGTATGTATGTAAGCAAACGCTTATTCTGAAAAACTAAATGGGTCTAATTGTCAGAAAGTAATTAGACTACCCTTATCAACGGTAAATAACACTTCTGTGATATTTCTCAAACTGTGTGTTCGGTAAAGCGGAAACAAAACAGAATTTATAATTGATTTAGGCTTTTTAACACAGGAAATAAGATGCCTCGAAGCTTTTGAGATGTGGCGTTACCGTCGCATTCTACGCATCAGCTGGATCCAAAGAGGGACGAATAGATTGTCCGAGTTGTGATTAAATAAAAGTTTATGCTGACTGTTAAATAATTTATCAGTCACTTTTCGTAATCGAAATGTGGATGCCGGTCCATCACATCCGTCGAGGAACTTTTTAGAATAGGGCAAGTTACTCGGCAATTCAAGTAGTTAACAACATTTAGCAATAAAGTCGCACCTTATGAAGAAGGAAATACAATGCGTCCCCACAATGTAAAATAGCGTTAATTACTTTTTGACTCTCTTACTCAAGAGTAAAAGAGTATGTGGTATTGCCACATAATTCTTGCCTCTGACTGTCTATCAAATGTCTATAAAAGGTTGTTATAAAAATGATTATAGTCAAATACAATACAAGGCAGGCTGGCAGGCAGATATTAATTATATTTTTTCTTAATGGATGAATAAAATTAAGGGATTCTATAATGAATAATAAAAACATTATTCATGACCAATATTGCGACAAAATTCATATATATCTCTAGACCCCACACTCAGGGGTCCCTTTGTTGTGGGTAACTAGATAACAATTAGTCAGTGGTACATGTTTTAAACAGATTTTTGGGAAAAAGTAGTCACAAGTCTAATAAGACATTAAGTATTGTGAAGGCGAACAAAATTCACTTTACACATATTTCCATTATTAGGAATTTACGTAAAAATATTTAGGAAGTTTTATTTCCCTTTAAAGAAATTAAAGTATTACATGAGGGACTTTATATTATGTACAGCTACAGTGATTACTACTAATCCAAGGCACATTATAAAACATATTTATAATTTCTTCCAGTATATAGAATTTTTTTATTAATCTAAAGAAAACCCATAGTAGCCATGCTAATAAACCCAAACTTAATAAATTAAGCTAGTCTCTAAACTAAAGTTTTACTTTCAACCATCCGATTGGCAGAGGTATACATGTCACAGCATGGGTGCAGTTCTGACAAGCCATGCCTGGACCAGTGCATATCCCCTCTACGTCCACCTCTCCATGACCGAGCGAACGTCCAAGTGGAACGCCAGCCATTCTATTGCCGGATATCACACCGCCTAGATCGAAGGAGGTTGTAAGCTGGAATTTCGATTAACATCTACATATATTCGGCGCTGTCGTACTGGGTTTGTTACTCTCTATGGGTCTTGGACTCACACTACATATAAAATTTTAAGAAAACACTATTACACAATTATAAATGGATGTTAAAAAAGACGGTTACTAAATCTGGGAATTTTTTTCTACACTATACGCATATATTCACAAACACTTTAAAACAGTATACGTGTACAAAAAATAATTTAGCTAAAATTACTTTCATGTCACCTGGTTTTTTTTCAATTGATTTTTGTGATACATTCACATAAGGTGAATATGATTATTTCTTCTGATAGTCTACCTACAATACCTAATAGAAAATTGAACGAAAAAAAAAATACAATTAATTTAGTAATGATTGAACGCAAACATTTTTGTTAGTTTTTTTATCCAAAGTTATTATTTCCCAATTGGAGATAAAAATGACACTTTCTCTTGATGTTTGTGATGGCGGTTTATTACATATTAGTGAAATAATGAATTTTAATATAGCTATGTAAGCCACACTGCACGTTAGAACTTAGAAATCAATTCTCATAAAACTTAGTAACCACTCTTATCCACGACGTGTCTCATTATCAAAAAAGCTATGATTTTTCGAGTCAACGTAGTATATATTCATATTTATTTAATTCAAATGTACGCAGCGGATAAACTCGTCAATCTCATCAACATTTACTTCCTTTCAAAGCTTCTAAAAGTGACTTAGGGAGACATTATAACTGAAGTGCAAGATTGTTAAGATAAATTACCCATTTTTATCTTACACTACGAACCTATAATTTTATTCATTTGAATTATAGAGGTGATTCATATGAAAAAAATACGCTTTAAATTTCGAAGTTATTTGTTTGTTCCTTATTACCAACATGAGTAGTAATTTTTTATTCCTTTTTTCCTGTTAAGTATGCTATTTTATCAAACGATGTTTGTTCGAAAAAAAGGACAAATGAAATGAAACATGTAATCTTTTTTAATTAAAACCAATATTGCGATAATTACAAAGTAATTTAAAATTTCGACGATTTTAATTAACATTCGATAATAAGTACAACAACTTTTGTATATAAATATTTAAAGTTGGAACATATGTAAAGTCCAAAATTTTTAATACATTTAAGATCAGTTAACAGTAGACCAGTTAATACGTTAGTAAAATAATTATAAATTAGATTAAAGAAAATAATACTATACCAATTACATTGACATAATATAAAAATATACTCACAGATCTTGTAAAACAAAAAATACATATTAATAAAATCTTAAACCACATTTTAAATATTGGTTGTTTACGATTACACTTCGACTGAGCAAATAATTTGGAAGACAATGACATTTAACCCCTTATCTATTTGATTATATTTGTTGTAGCATCAAAGAAATCGTATATTATATACATCAATGAAGCAAAGATTTTGATGTTACTAAAATTTACAAAAACGTCATTTAGGCTGTTTATTATTATTTTCATTTTTAGTTTTTAAATTTATAATTTAACGTTACATACGTGTGCTTTAAGAGCCTTTACATTGTTACAATTCTAGCGCTACGGTAGTACTTAAAAATCATAATACAAACGGCGTGGACAACATGATTGGTGGATTTGTTTAAAAGAACCACACACATTTACTTTTTTTCTATTCTTACAGTAACTTAATAATAACCTATTTATAACAAATTATAAATAATGCAATTATTTTGAATTCAGCCAGAGTGCAACTTAATATATTCTCACATGCGATAATATTCAGAGTGCGCAAGACACGCGTAAATGGTGCTTCTCCGAGTATTAATACATAATAATAATATATAAAGATATTCCATATACACGATACAAAACTTAACAGAACGGATAAGAAATACTTCGTAAACACATAAATCTTGTTCGTTACAAAAAGTGTATATTTATTTCTACAACCAGGAAATATTTTGTCCACACACATGTCCTTATATTTATAAAGAATTTGATAATTTTATCAGTGTTCAAAGATTCAAAATAAATTAGATCGTTATAAGAACAACTGAGTTTATCAATTGTACCATTAAACTAATTTAACCGCAATTTTTGTTGTTGTATGTAGTATATTTGTGTTTCCCTTGGTCCTAGAACACCAGATGCTCACTGAAGTATTACCTATTCAACTTAGGGCCAAGAAAATAGCGTACCAATTCTTAAAAGGCCAGCAACGCACATGCGAGCCTTCTTTCAATTTGAGTTTATAAGCGGCGATATCGCTTATCATCAGATGAGCCCGCCCTTTCGCCTCCTGTTACATAAAAAAACATATATATTTTTCTCTTTTGATGACAGTGTTGCTTAGGCAAAAAAATAACCTTAAAAATTTTGAGTCGATTATAAAGTAAGGGACATTATTTATTCTTTCATACATTCAAGAAAAGAGCGTATCAATTCTTAAAAGGCCGGCAACGCACTCGCGAACCCTCTGGTAATGTGAGTGTCTATGGGCAGCAGTAACACTTAACAACATGTAAGCCTTCGGCCTGTTTGCCCCCTGTTACATAGAAAAATGAAAAAAGCATATGTCCCAGGATCTGGATGTAGTGAGAACTGTGATTCCCGATGTACATTTTAGTACCAATATAAAAATTATATTTCAATTTTTTTTAAATAACATGAAACCGTACTTAATAAAGCGTATTCCAGGGGAATTCGTAATCTAAAAACAGGAATGAAGAGTATTTTCGAAGGTATTCCAGTAAATTGTAGTTTTTAGCAGACCACAAGCGACTGCGACAGATTGCGGAATTGTTTTTAGTTTATTTACGAAATGAAACTGCTTCGTCCGTCGGGGCTCAATTTGAGTAAATATTTTATTACAAAACAGCTTTGAAGCGTGAAGCTGTTAAAGCCTGTGTACCTGAATTTTCTTGTGTTATTTTTTACAATATTTACATATTATATTTTATATTTTCGAAAGGCAAACAGAACAATAATGAAGGGAAAAGAAACATCCAATTAAAATGATAAAACTAAAGGATAATTGATTTGAAAGTGGAAGCACCTATGGATATCCAGAGCAAGCGTGACGCACTCACTCTAAGACCCAACAAGTGTCTTTGCCTCGGAAATGAGAATCTTCTGTGCCACTTCCCGCTAATTGCTATAGCAAGTACTCCTCCATTCTATGGATCCAGCGGTACCTGAATGCGTAGCAAGCGTGTTATTGTCCGATGACAAATCGCTAAAATTTAATAAAACGAAAATAATACCACTAGTTCAGTTATTAATTCGTATATAATTTAATTATTAAACATTACGTTTTTCGAGCGGCTAAAGAAATAAATATTAAGGTAGAGTGAGGGGGGGTGGGGGGGAACATCCTTTTTCCGGGGGGGGGGGGGGCGGGGGGCGGCGCGCCCCCCCCCCCCCCCCCCCCCCCCGGGCGCGCCGGGGGGTCTCCCCCCCCCCCGGGGGGGGGGGGGGGGCCCCCCCTAAAAAACCCCCCAAATTTTTTTTTTTTTTTTTTTTTCCAATATTTTTAATCCCCCCCCCCCCCCCCCCCGGGGGGGGGGGGCCCCCCCCCGTTTTTCCCTCCTCCCCCCCCCCCCCCCCCCCCCCCCCCCCCCCCCCGCCCGGGGGTTTTCCGTCCCCCCCCCCCCCCCCCCCCCCCCCCCCCCCCCCTTTTTTTTGTTGTGGGGTTGGGTGTTTTTCTCTTCGTTTCCCCCCCCCCCCCCCCCCCCCTTTTTTTTTTTTTTTTTTTTTTTTTTTTTTTTTTTTTTTTTTTTTTTTTTTTTTTTTTTTTTTTTTTTTTTTTTTTTTTTTTTTTTTTTTTTTTTTTTTTTTTTTTTTTTTTTTTTTTTTTTTTTTTTTTTTTTTTTTTTTTTTTTTTTTTTTTTTTTTTTTTTTTTTTTTTTTTTTTTTTTTTTTTTTTTTTTTTTTTTTTTTTTTTTTTTTTTTTTTTTTTCTTTTTTTTTTTTTTTTCTTTTTTTTTTTTTTTTTTTTTTTTTTTTTTTTTTTTTTTTTTTTTTTTTTTTTTTTTTTTTTTTTTTTTTTTTTTTTTTTTTTTTTTTTTTTTTTTTTTTTTTTTTTTTTTTTTTTTTTTTTTTTTTTTTTTTTTTTTTTTTTTTTTTCTCTTTTTTTTTTTTTTTCCCCCCCCCTCCTTTCTTTTTTCCCCCCCCCCCCCCCTCCCCCCCCTTTTTTTTTTTTTTTTTTTTTTTTTTTTTTTTTTTTTTTTTTTTTTTTTTTTTTTTTTTTTTTTTTTTTTTTTTTTTTTTTTTTTTCTTTTTTTTTCCTCTCCCCCTCCTTTCCTCCCCCCCCCCCCCCCCCCCCCCCCCCCCCCCCCCCCCCCCCCCCCCCCCCCCCCCCCCCCCCCCCCCCCCCCCCCCCCCCCCCCCCCCCCCCCCCCCCCCCCCCCCCCCCCCCCCCCCCTTCCTTCCCCCCCCCCCCCCCTCCCTCTTCTTCTTTTTTTTTTTTTTTTTTTTTTTTTTTTTTTTTTTTTTTTTTTTTTCTTTTTTTTTTTTTTTTTTTTTTTTTTTTTTTTTTTTTTTTTTTTTTTTTTTTTCCTCCCCCCCCCTTCTCCCCTCCCCCCGCGCCGCCGCCCGCCCCCTCCCCCCCCCCCCTCCTCTTTTTTTTTTTTTTTTTTTTTTTTGTTTTTTTTTTTTTTTTTTTTTTTTTTTTTTTTTTTTTTTTTTTTTTTTTTTTTTTAAAAAATTTTTTTTTTTTATATTTTTTTTTTTTTTTTTTTTTTTTTTTTTTTTTTTTTTTTTTTTTTTTTTTTTTTTTAAAAAAAAAAAAAAAACGAGTTACTAAACGTAAAGAGCAGGTAAATAAAATAAATATAAGATAAATATATCAGTGGCGCTACAACCTTTATTGGTTTGGGCCTCAGATTTCTGTATCGGTTTTATGATCATTTATCAATATAATAGGCAAGTAGGTGATTAGGCTCCTTGGACTTATTGGGTCTAAGGCAAGCCGGTTTCCTCACGATGTCTTCCTTCACCGTTCGAGCGAATATTAGAGCGCACATAGCAAGAGAGTCCATTGGTGCACAGCCGGGGATCAAACCCACGTACTCAGGGCTGACAGTCGCACGCTGAAGCCACTAGCTTAATTTTTTTTTGTTGTTGTATCTGCTTCATGGCAATCTGCTATCCAGCAATAAGCCACTTGTTTGTTTGATTTTACTCAGTTCATGTTATCCTCAAGAGCCATACTCGACATAGAGCCACGACTCTCTTGATGTTAAGAGGTAAATCTAAAGCTTAAATAAGAAGAAAATGATTATTATGAATAATTCTTTCAGCACGAAAGTCTATTGTTTTTCTTTTTTTAATCTATAAATTTCTGTAGTGTGTGGCATAACTGACCTCATTTAATCCTACTTTATAATAAGACAAATCATAGCGCTGCCAAAACTGAAATTTAACCCGTTCATCGCTCTAGGGAATCAATTTGAAAAACAAAATAGTTTTGGCACGAAGTTGTGGGGAATTGTTGCCAAGTGCGGTCACTGCAGCACTGCGCAGCTTACGGATACCTCTGTGCAATAAATACAACATTTTCTTGTTTTACGATCAATACAAATCAAAATCATTTAAATCCTTTCTTTTTAAATATGCCTACAGCGAATTGTATATTATTGCGGGCATACAATGCGCAGAGGCGATGAGAACTTGGAGAAACTGATCGTGGTTAGTAACACAGAAGGTAAAAGATCACGTGGCCGTGTACCAACTAGATGGACCGATCAAGTGAAAGACTCATCGTCCTCAAAAGTGTACACTATCATAAGAGAGGCGCTGGACAGAAACCGGTGAAAACAGATTGACGGCTCCAGATGCTTCGTTACTGACCACGCCGCTCACACATGAGCTGCCGATTAAAGAGAGACATAAGGTTTCAAATATTGACTCAAAATGTTTCACAGCCACTAAAATAATTAAAAAGTTTTACAAAATATTTTTCTATTTCGACCTTCGTTGCTAGGGAAATGCAATTTTGTTACAATAGATATACTTTAAAAAAAGTTAGAACAAAGTAATAAAACTTCTTTAAGTCTAAAAGCTACTATTTACTTAACTCGAAGCTTTGAAAGCTCTACAAATTCAAATTTAATGGATGCAAGATATAGAGATTTAATTTATTTATTGAGAAAACTTCGCAGCTTATAACTAACTGACTTCCTAAATATAAAGTTATTTTTACGCTATTAAACAAATCTTTACATATAACTATGTACTTAACAGTTGGATTGGTAACTATAAAATCATTTTAATCCAACTATCTATAAATATCAAAGAAACCAATAA